AGGTTAATCAAAATTTTAATAAAAGGAATTAAGACAAAAATGTAATTATTTTTGTGAAACTGAGATTGTAAATTATTAATACCTTACTCTTTCAATCTGTTCTAATATTAAAAGGAGAATAGCTTTTCATTCACTGCAAAGTTCTAAATACTGCCACTAATAATTTTAAAACATCACCCAAAAATAATGAAAGTGAAATTTCTGGGCTATGGAGGCTTTAGACTAGAACTCATGCCAGTGTATATATGGTATCTCAAGTGTACTACTGCATTTCTACCTCGAAAGGCTTTCTTTTCCATCTATGCACTGCTCACATATCCTCCCACTGGGTCAGTTTTGAATAATTATTCAAATTATAAATAATTATTCAAGGGTAATAAGTCATAAATATGAAGTACTCCATTACATTCCAATATATAGTTCCTACTAATAATATCTGTTGAATTTTAAATATTTTAATAATGATTATTTAAACTTTAGATTAACAAGTTGCCATGGAGCATCCTCTTCTCTTCCAATTGGACATGTGCAGTGCTTCGATGTACTGAAACTTGGGAATACCTCCAGTTTGTAATCACCTTTAGATCTTTTCTTGTCAACATGAATAAATCACCGGCACAAACTGTGAAAAATTAAGATGATAAATTTCTTATTTGTGGCAGTCACCCACTGCTATATGTACATGTAACTCTGAAGGTGGAACCCTTCAAAATTTACAAGATACTTCTTTGTATTTTACTTTTCGCTAGCTGCCAGATGGAAACTGGGATCAGTTCAAACAGTTTTATGTTCAATGGCAAGTGAAACATTATTAAGTTAAAAGGGAGAGGTTGAAAGATGTATAACAGTTCTCAGGGCCAGATGTAGCTTTCCAGGGGATCGCTGAGCAATGATACAATACTTAAGTTATTTTTCAAGCTGATAGTACATTGTTATTCATAAAATTAATAACTATCCCCTCAACTACACAAAAAAAACCCACAGGTGTTTGAATCTAACATATGTCTGAAAAACTGCTATCAATGATACAAAATGTTATTAAAATATAAAAATATCTGAGACATGTTCTAATTGATTTTCTTTCTGTAAGGAATGGACTAAGCCATGCCATACACAGGTACACCAGTACAACAGGCTTTGATAATGAAGGAAAAGAATTGATTTCTTATTTTAAATGGGAACCTATGACAGTGTGGCTTTGTTGGCTTCTTTGCTCTTATGAAGAACACATTGCAGGACTCTAGGAAGACAATAGATTTTTGAACCATAATTAAAATTAAAATAGTCAGTGGAGCAACATGGATGGCATTCATGACCATTGTAGACAGATGGTCAAAACTGTTTCTTTGTTGATTGACTCACAAACTCTTACAAGATTAAATCCAAGCAACTTGTGTCCCTCCATAAAGCTTTCTCCATGGCCTGGTTCTCAACTGTATTTCCCTGTTAACTGCTTATTGCCTGGTAGACTACGCCTCTCAGGTTTTACTCCTGTTACTTTTTATATTCAAACATACTTTTTCAGTTTTATTCCCTTGCTGAACTTCCTCAGCCCAGTAATATGTAGTTTGTGATTTCCATAAAACCTTCCCTGAGTCCCCAGATTAATTTAAATATCTCTGTTCTGTGTATTGTTGAATCCCCTTATGTGATTTTCCTGTTAGCTACTGATGTGCTGCATATAATCTATCTCCTTCTAGATTACAAATTCTTCAAGGAAAAGTAATGACCAAGTACAATAAATATAAATTCTATTATGTATACTATAATTGGTGTGAATAATATATCATTCTATGAGCTAAAATTAAATATATGTGTACACAATGTTCTCTGCAGTTGAAAGTACACCTAGTAAAATCAAATAATATTTTTAACTTACTATACATTCTATGAAGTTATAAGAGGATAATGCTAGCCCAGATAAAATTCAAGTTGAATTTCAATTTTGTCTATCATTTCTCATGTAACTTATTATATATAAAAATATTTAGCAGTATTTCATTGCACAGAACGACATAATGCTATTTTTGAAGAAAACAATACAGTATTTTTAAATTGTTGTTCAGATACTTTAACAAAAACTAGTTACCATTCACATTAATTTTAATTTTTTTCAAATATAAAAGTTTTACCTACCGTCGCCTCTTTTATTAACATTTCATGAGTACAAGGAAATAAGCTATTAGTTTAATTTACCTTAATAACCAAATCAAATTTCTGATGAAAGTCTCTGTTCACTGGCTCTAGAAGACTAAGCTCTGCGGTCCTGGGATGCATATGGAAAAATCGTGGGAAATCCTCAGGCGTCCCTGAAAGACATTGAGATTTCAGCTTGTAACTGGGAACAAACAGTAATGCGAAGATCTGGTTCATCTATTTCCCTTCATTAACTGAGCAACAAAATTACAATTTCATTAGTAAATTAAGTTTCAAAATTATGCAGTCTGGGGAAAGCAGATACAAATGCACTAAATAATTAGCTTGTAAGTAAGAGACTGGAAAATAGCTATGTGATTTTCCAAGTTTTCTATTGAGTGCTCTTTAATTTGGAACTCTATCACATGAAAAGAGCTATTACATGGGGCAAAAGCAAATTTTATATTATAAAATTGTTTTCAGTACTGCATAAATTTTAATTATAGCCTACAAGGTCTTTCAGAATGTAGTATAATAAATAATGCCCAATACTTTAAGCCAAATATGAAATTATCTGGAAAATATTAGGAAGCTGTTCTGTTCCATCTTGTCAAAATTTCTCTCTTTTCTTTTTATTTTATTATTATTATTTTGTTGTTGTTGCCATTTTAAGACAGGGTCTCTCTTGCACTTAAGGCCAGCTTTGAACTCACTTTGTAACTCAGGCTGGTCTTGAATGCATAGTGATTCTCCTGCCTTAGCCTCCCCAATACTGGGACTACAGGCGTACAATAAAGCCCAGCCAATATTTCTTAAATATAAGTAGTTAGCTGATATCACCCATCAGAAATTAGAACATAGGTTTTGATGGTATTCTTAATATCTGGTTTGGATATTTCTCAAAGATGAACATTTTAGCAAGCTGAGTATATTTCTTCTTGCATGAATTCCTTTTGTTTGTATTGTCTCTCATGTGTACAGCTTTTCTTTCTCCCAAAATAGAAAAAAGTAGAAGTGAACTCACAAAAGTAAAATCTAGAAGTTCAAATCAAATCATACTGATGGTTAATCATACTAGAAATCATCATTAATCCTGTAATCCATTTCTATTTTATATATGAAAATTTCAGAGATAAGAAAAATTAAATAACATCCTTCTCAAATAGATAAAATGAGGCTTGGCTGCTTTTCATATATTTGTGTTCAGATCTAAAATTGTACTTATTGCACTACTTTCACTCAATACTTGAAAAGAAGGAAAATTCTCTATGAAATCTTGTAAGGAAATAGAGAATTAGAAAGAATCACTATTAAAATGGATTGGAAAAAAATAAAATAGGTTGGAAAGCCTAGACAATACAAAAACTAGACATGAAATTTAATATTTGCTAAAGAAATGATCTCTTTTAGGAGGAGAATCTCTTAGAAAATCATAAAATTTCTCCCACTACAATTAATATTATAATGCAATACATTTAGTACTTGTATAGTAATATAAGTATATCTTATTGCATGCAAAACTAAACCACAATTGGAGAACATATTTTAATTACTTTGAATAATATATGAATGACCCTAAACACCAATAGAAAAAAATGTGTACGAAGAAATACATAATAAAGTTACTTGTCATAGATGAAAATATGGACAGATTTAACTCAGACCTGAGAACAGGCAAATCTTTCCTAAACATTGCTCAAGACTAAATAGCAATAAGTATTAAAAGAAAAAAGAAATTACACAATTACATGATAAATCGCAAATAGATAAAATCATGTGACAGTCTGGGAAAACATTTTCAACTCACTTCAGAGAAAAAATGCTCTAATATCCTTCTTCTATGGAAATTTGTAAATTATATTTCAAAAGTCAACAATGCCTTAAAAATGGTTATTGAAAGAACATGAGCAGTAAGTTTAATACGATCTGTAAAGGAAAACTTAGTATATCCTATCAAAATCATATTAAAGTTCACCACTTTTTAGGGCTATAGATCAAACACAACCCTTGTTCCGGACAGCTGTTATGCTTGAAATATTTGTCAGCCCAATGTTTACTGATTCAGAAATCCTATTTCAACCACATTTTTGCATGATAATGAAAGATAATCACTGATCATGATGGCAACATGTAGAAGAAAATGGAAACAAAACAGTCAATATTTTATTTTCAAGAATGATTACCACAATATGATACTGCAGAAGAATTGTAAGTAGTTATTTTATAAACATAATAAATATTGTGTATTAAAATATTGTTTCTAGGATTTTCTCCAAAATAATACAAGGAGAGAAATAAATAAGAATATGGATGTTAAAAGCAATTTTAGCAAGTGTTCTAGATTCTTCTTTTCTCTCTCTTTTTTTTTTAATGTATTCAGTGCAGAATCTACAAGGTCTGCAGGGTCTCACTACACAGATCGGACTCATAGTGATCCTCCTGCTTCCAGTCTCCCAAGTGCTGGGATTACAGGCGCGCACCACAAGCCCAGTCTCAGTTGCCCCCTCAGTGCGCCCTGGGGCCGGGGCCAGCACTGCACACTGAGAATCCAAACGCCAAGCCCTGCATTGGCCTAAGCAAGCGCTTTAATCAGCTGATTATCTGGCTGGTCCTTCAAGGTTCTTGAAGTTATGTACTAAATGGTATTTTATTAAGTATTCTCTCATTTTTCTACTACATTCTTCTACTACATTCTATTGAAAACTTTTGATAATACAATGCAAATTAGAGTTAGCTTTGGTTGGATCTTATCCTAGCTCCCATCAGAGTGGAGCAATGAGGTAAAAACCAGAACTTGACCGATAGCAGCTGATCTGGAAAGCCTTTCTTTGGTTCCAGAAAGTAACACTCACTGGCAGTTGGCTCTGTAATTGCAGTGGGGGAAACATTGTGACTTCTGTATTTCTAAATGTTCTACTTCATTCAAGTACCCAAGAAGCCCTGTGGGGAAGATATTATCATTTGATCTATGAGAAACTAATACTCAGGGAGGTCTAAATAAAATGATCCGGACTTTTCCACAGCTCCTAAATGACTGAGCCAGATGTGAAAATTAAGAAGTCTCATCCTAAGGTCCAAATCTTGCTTTTTATGTCTTGGAGTCTGAGCCAGTGATTTAGACAACTTTGGCCATCTTCCTATGGTTTTGTTTTGTTTTGTTTTTTCTTTCTGTATTTAGGACAGGGTCTACAGTGTCTCAGTACTAGATCGGAATTGTAGTGATTCTCCTGTTTTCAGCCTCCCATGTGCTGGGATCGCCATCTCAGCATGCCCCAGAAGGCAGGCCAGTATGGTATGTCAGGAATCGAACCCAGCTGCTGCGCTCTGACCAAGCAGGCACTTCAGTCCATTGAGTTATCAGGCCAGCCCCTATCTTTCTATGTTGATAGATATCTTAGACATCATTACAGAATATTAACATAGCAAAAGTATAACAAGACATTTAAAAATAAATTTTCTTGACTAAAAGTACAGGCTGGTAAAATTTAACTTCATTCATTCCTAAAAAATCAAGCTTGTCAGAGCTGGTGAGATGGCTCAGTGATCTAAAGCACCTACTTAGAACAAGCTTAGCAAAGCACAGGGACCGAGGTTCAATCCCCCAGCACCAATGCCAGCCAACCCCGCCCCCAGGCGGGCTGAGCTGGCCACACACACACACACAAATAAATAAAATAAATAAAATTAAAAAAAAAATCAAGCTTGTCTAATGAGAAATGAAAACACTTAAAGCTTCTGTGTTCATCATACACAAATTTTTATAGTTAAGTGAAGCTGTTTCTTAAAAACAGTTCTGATTGGGGCTGCGGAGATGGCTCAGTGGAATAAGCACTTGTCTGGCAAGTGCAAGGGCCTGAGTTCAATCCCCCCCACACACACAAATACAGTGCTGATTGCCTAAGTTTACATTGACAGTAAAATTGATCTCTCATCATCAAAATCATATACAGTATAATGAATTCCAGAATTAAAACCTTATTATAATTAAGGGACTGGTTAACAAAATTTTTATTATTATGTACACTAAGAAAATTTAACATATTTCATTTTTATAGTTTTAAGAAAATAGCAACCTAAATTGATTTCTCAGTGAAAAATTTATAATTTTGGAAATTGTATTCAGCTTAACTTTTCAAACATTTATCTTCATTATTTTTCAGATTTATATCCTGTATGAAAGCCAAGGAATGGGAAAGGGATAGAGAAATTATACTGCTAATAAAAATTGGTTTGTATAAATTGTCTTTCCATATGGCTTTGTTAGTTTACAAAATCCTTCTTAGTAAAAATACATTAAATTCCATTCATTTTTCAGCATTTACTTTGTAACATGAAAAATATTCTGTCTTTTAAGTTTTGTGGAGAAAAACAGGAACCTAAATTTTATCCAGTGGCAAAATTTAAGAATTTTTGATAACTGTGATTTTCTAAATTTGAGATATAGTTGTTATATAAAAAGCTTCACATATTTAAAATACACACTATTGTGTTGTTCAAAACACTCTTACTATAATGAACAGACCTATCCACCTCTGTGTGTTCCCTTCTCTGATAATCCCCTGACTATCCATGTTCCCACCTGCATGGAGCCATTGTTCAACTTCTGTCAGAACAGAATCATTTATGCTTTCTGGAAAAGCCCAGAAATAAAATATATTTACATCAAGTATCTTCTTTTGGTTAACTTACATATTTCTCTTACTCCAATGATTTCCTTTTGTGTTCAGTAATTCATTTACCATTATTACCTTAGTATTGTTCTATTCTAGTTGTAGACCAAAGTTTGTATGTCTATTCATATGCTGAGAGGGAGCTGAAGAACCTCCGGTGTCAGGTAAGCCTTTCCAAACATTTCTGACCATATCTGAGGGGATATTTATCTCATCTGTCTTATCTAGAACTGGAATACCTAAATCACATCCTAGGTTTATACCTAAATGTAATAATTGGTTTGTGGAATGTGGAGTTCAATACATTTTTAGACATGCATAGGTTTGTGTAACCACCACTAAAATAAGGATACCGAATAGTTGTATGTTCAAATAACTACTTTTATTTTCCTCTGCAGTTTTTTGCTTGATTATTCATTTGCAGGATTTATTTACTTATTTATTTATTTTTGTCTTTTTTGAGACAGGGTCTCTTTATACAGTTCAGACTGATGTTGAGTTAC